TCTCTATCTCTGACTCACTTTATATATACCTCTCTCTCTCTTTCATGTTCTCTCATTCTCCAACCCCTAACCCTTTCTCCTCCCCCCTTATGTTCGAAAAATGTTTATTTCACTATCGAAGTATATGAAACACCCCGTCAGTGTGAACGACAAAAATAAATATGGGGTTTCTGTATAATATTTTTTTTTAAAGTAAAACTAAAAAGGCCAACAAAAAAAAAGGCAAAAAAAGGTAAGAGCCGGTGGAAAGAAAAGTAAAGACAGGAGTGCAACATATAAAGCATGTATTGTAGTGTGAAGAAAAAAACAAATGTTATTGAGAAAGTAAAAACAATGATGAAGAGAGACTGACTTAAACCACAATCATTTCAAATACAGATCGGTCCTTCATCTAAAACAACCACGACATTGACGAAATGATAAAGACAATTGAATGAGAAAACAGAGAAAGAGAACAGTTAATAATGGAGATGGAGAATTATATTTTGCGCAGCAAAGCAACAAAATGCAATTTGATGACCCAAATATTAGGTAAAAACAATATCATCATGAAAATGGCAAGAGGTTTTATAGATCAAGCATCGACAAAAGGTCTGTATGAAGAATTATTACGTAGGCCACATTTATACTCGGCTGCACGAGGATTTCGTAAATTCGAAAGATCCTTCTCCTCCAAATATATTCCAATGCCTTTAGCATCCCAGCAAGGCGGGCCTTACCATTGTATTTTCCTCACGTCCACTTCTTGTGTATATGCTGTATCATGCATATACATATTATACTCAGATGGTCCCGGAGCATTTGAAGAAATTGATATGAAATTACATGTACTTCAAAAATGCAATTTACGAGAATGTATTGCTAAAGAATATGGTCTAAACCAATTACGCGAGACATTTGAAAGGTCAAATGTACATGCACTTCAGTTCCCCCTTCTACCTCTCTCCCTCACTCCCCATCTCTCTCCCTCTCTCTCCACCTCTCCCCCTCACTCTCCATCTCTCTCAGCCACTCCTGTGTATTTCTATCGAACCTGTATTGCAATAACGTACAGGGAGTGGGGAATGAATTACCCAGCGCAAATTTTCTCTTTCGAAAACGAGAGATTTGAACAGGCAAATGTCACTTTTCATAAAGCACCCCAATATGTTTCTCCCGATATAATATAAGCCGGGGTATTTTTTTTTCTCCGTAAGTAAATCTATATCAGGGCACTTGGGCGCTGGCAATATTTCATATTGAAAGCAAGGAATCCGACGTCAGATGAATTCTGATTTTGAAACATGAGGGAAAAAAGACACAAGAGAAAAATCTTGAGAGTCATAAAAATCAAGCTTTTATGACCATTTATAAACTTGTTACATGATCCACCCCCCATTTTGATTTTATTTTTCTTTCTGTATCAAGTGATCAGGTAATCTTTTTTTTTTTACAGACCACCTCTTTTCCACATTTTCGATGTCTTTATAACTTTCTTGTTATTGTTCATGAATTTATTCTTGACGATGACTGTTCATGAATGTATGTTTTTCATGTCAGTGGAAAGAACCAAATAAATCTTGCAAATCTTGAAGTGTATCATTTCACATTCATTTTTCCTAAACTATTGCATTTTGCTCTTAATATTGAATTCATCAATTCCCATTTCTTTCTCCCAAATTATTGTGCACATGTATTTTGCTCTCTATCAAATGTTTCACTTTAAACATTTAAACGAAATGAATCCAATGACATTCCAAAGTGTTATGGCCATCAATATATAAATATAAAAGCAACATGCAATCAGCAATCGAAATCATTCTAGATACGATTTAATACGAAGATAGGTATGAAGATCTAGTGGCTTAGTGAGTAAAACCTTTTTTTTTGGGGGGGGGGGGGACAAAAAAAAAACATCGGAAAATCATGTCATTTTGGTCTGCAACATTTGTAATTTTGTAAATCACTGGTGTCGAATGAGCAATAAATGAAGAGCTTGATTCCAAAAGGAGCTAAATCCATATTTTATCAAAATGGAGTCATTTGTCTTAAAATAAAGATTTCCTACATGGGGACAAAATGCACTATATCACATTCGAAAATTTCACTAGGAAGTATGAAAAAAATTAGGCAAAATATCATGCTTCATTCCAAAAGGAGCTAAATCCAAATCGGTTTCATTCCAAAAGGAGCTAAATCCACATTGGGTACTTCTGAGTAAATCACCTTTTCTATTTCTCGACTTTCCCTTTAGCAATGTACCTTCATGTTGTTATATATGTTAAAGGTGTCACCCTGAACCAATAATATATGATAAGAAAAAAAATCTACCAGTTATTTCTGATTTTTACTAAATTTTTAGATTTAGAGGATTTAGCTCCTTTTGGAATGAAACATGGATTTAGCTACTTTTGGAATGAAACGGATTTAGCTCCTTTTGGAATGAAAATGAGATATGTTGTTCACTTTCTTTTCAAAAGGTTTTTTTTAGTTGTGATATCACTATTATTATTTAAAAGGAAAGGTTTGCTACTAAATTTGAATAAATTTCAGTGACTATATTGAGAAAATATGAAATTTTCCAGGTACAATATCATGTTTCATTCCAAAAGGAGCTAAATCCACGATTTTTTTTTATATAAAACTTTAGTAAAAATCAGGAAAAAGCTGGTAGATTTTTTCTTATCATATATTATTGGTCCAGGGTGACACCTTTAAAATATATTACAACATTAAGGTCGATGGCTAAAGGGAAAGTGAAGAAATAAAAAATGGCGATTTACTCAGAAGTACCCAAAGTGGATTTAGCTCCTTTTGGAATGAAACTCTTCAAATAATGTTTGAATCTTGTTTCCTTTTATTGGGGGAGGGGGGTTGTCTACATGTACTGCGAGCTTCATGTCCGGTACTTGTATAGGCCTATTGTAGCAAGACATTGTTCAGTATCTCAAATAATTCATTGTTATTTAAAAGAAAAAGTATTTTAAATTAAAGACAAATTTAATATTAAACATGTATTCTAATTAAAACATTACTTCAGATCAACTTCAGGGGTTGACTATTCGCGGTTGGTGATATCTTTAGAAAGTGTGCATTATTTAATAAATAGCGCCATCTCAAAACAGCATGGTACAATGACTACAGTCATATCTACCTATCGAACACCTTCACATTGTACAACTAATGTGCGCTTTCATTGGAATATGTCATCCGATGGTCAATATGCCAATGTTCATATAACTTTAGCTTTGTATTTAATCACAGAACATATTTTAGCCTAGATGTAAAATAGCTTGTAGCTTAAGTAAGCATTCAATATTTGTTCATATTTATTCATTATATTCTCATTCATTGTTGTGATTCACATTTTATTGTTATATTGATGTACTTTTTGTTTGGATAATAAAACTTCAAACTCAAACTCAACTCATTTCAGCTTCTCACATAAATCAGGAAACCATCTGAGAATAGAACACATAATCAACATAATATATATATTCCACGATTTAGCTCATATACTTTAATCAAATATGTATAAAACTTTGAATATACAATTGTACGTTATAAAAATATCAATGGCACGTCAACTTATGAAAAATTTAGAAAACATAACAAAACTAAAACAGACAATACCACAAATAACATTTACAAATAAACGTTTTTCTCTTTATAAGAGTATTCAGTAACAAATACAATAAAAAACAACACACTATTCTTTTGAATTTCATTCAGGCAGAACGAATACAACATGATGATGATCGATATACAACAATTTTGAATCTCTATTCAAATCCTAGTACTATGATTTCTTTTCCTTTATTTCTAATTTAAACATTGAAGTCAAGAAGAAGAAAAAAACATGGTAACAAAATTGAAATCACAAACAAAAATTGTTTAGATTAAGAGAAATAATGAAGTAAGAGTGATATTCCATTGTACTAGGAAAGTTTGTCTTAAAAATTTCAATATTTGTTATGTTTAGAAAAGACATTGCAATAGATTTTCTATTCAAAAAGTAGAAAAAATAGCCGCAGTTTTATAGAACATTTATTTTGATGCAGCCTTTGAACAAAAGAAGTATCAATCATTGCAAAATACAGTGCATATTTTGTTAAAACTGCCGTATCTCATACTCTAGTAGCACATTAAATCTCTGAATATACTTTCTTATGTACAATATACATAACAATTCAAGACACACAAGAATTATTCCCAATAGTACTTCATGTTAAGAGTAATTTCACACTACTGAAATAACACAAAAAATGCGTAATCTCGACATATACATTTGTTTCCTATGAATTCATGTTATATTAGAAGTGTAAATAGCAAATGATTGAACAATTGATTGAACAAGTGAAGCATGAAAGGTTTTATCCAGATTGGGGGATGTTTCATCACTTAAGTTTGTTTGTCAAATCTTGCAATGGATTGAAGATTGGAATCAATTTTAGCTTGAAACTGATCTCTATAACTAAAGATGCTTCAAGCGATGTATTTATATTTTTTGATAAAACAAATCCTTAAAGGTAATACAAAGTTTTGGGAAATTTTGAAAATTCGGTGGATAGTGAATATTTACAATTTTGATATATTTGGATGCCCCTGTGCATGTATTATTTAGCCTCTAAAACACTTCTGTTTTCGAGAAAAATTTAATATAAAAATTTACCGGTGCTCCCGGTAAATATTGATAAATTTCAAAAAGTGCCTATGGCCGTGCGATGGTAGCTGCGACCATGAAAATCTCAGAATATGTAGTTGTGATATATAATTTCCAAACGGGAATAGCTAATCGGTCGATTTTAGTCAAGAAACATTGTTTCATAGATAAATTAATATCTTGACCTTGAGAGGGAGCTATAAAACATAAAGAGTTCATTATTTATAATTTCATAACTTTAGACTCGATTTCAACAGCGACAACGATCAATAAATATTGTAGGAACGCATATGCTTCCAATGTGTTAATTTGAACCGAATTCATGACCCCATACCAAAACTTTGTATTACCTTTAAGTTTATCATGTTTAAACATGATCATTCTTATACTGCCGTGCCAACTGTACAACCAATCAATTTATATGATCTTTATGGACAATAAACTGTACATGTAAGTGTAAGTTATGCCGCGCATGTGCCTCACAAGAGGGGGGTGAATACTCAAAGCCATATCCGTACATGATGCAGTTAGTAAACAAACCTATTTAAAGCCCCACTGCACTACTTATAGCTACTTGCGCCCTCTATATAGCAAACAATGCCTGATCGGTGCCTGCTGGTCCCCCATGATCCCCTTTTTCTTATGTTAATTGAGAGCTGATTTGATGAGATAACCACCTGTCAGCGCCCTTGCAGGGAGGTCTACTCCCCCTTGGACAAACTAGTACGGACAGGCTTTAAACATTGACAAAATAGGCTGCTTATCACATTATCAGGACAGGGGGTTCACAACAAGAGTAAAATTTGGCCAATTCTTTCAGCTGATGTCAAATCTTGATCATTGTATGATTATTTGATGTTGACTTGACGTAGAGAATAATAATTATGATAACAAAGAATGATATTATTCATAGTTTTGCTAGCATTAAAAGAACACAGCATGTCTACAGTGCACCTTTGTAGGGAAGCTCTTCGATATCTTTAACTACATACAAAATCACTGAAAGAAATTGTCAGAAAACATAAAAAAAATCAAACTGCCCAAAATAAAACATTCAAGTGAAAAAGATTAAAGAGCACAAGGGGGGGGGGGGGGGGTATTGATATCATGGCTAGCAGAAGCCTTGGAGTGTATAGAGAGTTACTCCAATGTATTTGAACTATCAGTCACTTTTAGTGTGTACTTTCATTTAGAGTGTATCATAACTTGCAAATCCACAGAAGAAATATATGGAACTGATGCCTTAATTATTGCAAAACTGAAAACACTCAAATCAAAACTCTTTTGGGGTGATGAGTGCCCTTTCGATTTCAATTAAATTAAGTCTCTTAACATAGAGCCTGCTCATAATTTCTGAAATAAATAATTCAAGAACTTATAATCCTCTTCAATGATGTTGATAATGATAATGATGTAGCTGTTCATCACTTTTGTTGCTGTTTTGGTTTGTTGTTTACACTACTGACTTACAAATGATGACATAAATTTTTCATTATTGATGTTGAAAGTATTGTTGATAATACTGTCAGTATTATTGTATTATTTATACCTTTTTGCTGCTTTTATTGATCCTATCTATGGTGCTTTACTGCTACTGCTGTAAATTTAATGTTGCCTATTATTGCAGCAGCTCTTGTAATTGTCGCTCTCTATGTTGCTTACAAGCTGTTGATTCAAATGTTGCCTCTGTTGCTGGTGTTGTTTTTCCTCCCTTACAACTTGACCTTGCCTTCCTTTGCGAGTTGCTGCCATATCCGACCCTCCGGGTAGACGTAGTCTTCTAAGCTTGCTTTCTTGAGCTCTGTCGAGTACCCAGGAATCTATACAAAAAAAATAAAACAACATTAAAAGATTTGATTAATTATCAGTCCTTTGTTTAAAACAAAAAATATATATACAAATTGGGGAAATGCATCAGAATAAGTCCATAGTGTACCATCAATAAAGTTTGTGAGCTTTCATAGGTGACAAACATGCAAAGTTTTTTTATTTTGCTTTCAATGTTGATGGTTGAAAAATCTCAAAACATGTAAACTCAGATCAATTCCCCAAAACTGAGTAGATTTAAAGTGACCACAAGCATTTAAAAACGAAAGGTATTTTCATCATTAAATCTACAGCACTTTGAAAATAGAAGTGGCCTCCAAGTTTTAGAACTAAGAAAAATAAGAACACTAAAAATAGAGGTGTCGTGGTCGAGTGGATCACAAGGTCCACGGTTCAAGTCCTGCCTAACCGGGTTAATAATATATCTGTAAATCGCTTTGAGAAGGCCTGCAGTCCTGAAATGCGCTATAAAATATGAACTATTATTATTATTAAAAAAGAGAAGTAAGATAAAACAAAAAAAATTGACATTATTCACCTTCTGTGGCATGTATGAAGCATTCTTGATGATTGAGGGATACTTGAAGTGCTCCCTCAGATGGTCCACATACTCAATCACCCTGTCAAATAAAAGAAAAGTGAAAATATTAAAATCAACTGCATTTCTTGTTTCATTTTTTGTATTGAATGCATGAAAAGTTACATGTATTCATGATGTCATCTATGGAGATATAGCCATATCAGCACATCTGTCATTAAAAAAAATGTTGAACACTATTAAAGTAGAGTGAGACAAATGTTCAAACACTGAAGAACATTGTCTTATATGTGAACAAATCTGTAAGCACCCCCCCCCCCTCTCCTTTCTTTCTTTCTTTCTTTCTATATTTCTTTCCTTTTTGGCTCTCAGCAAGTATTACAAAAACAATCATATATTTTTGTCTTGCTCTATCATTTCCAGCTTCATCACTGATGTTGATTATGTATTATGTTTTAAATCTTGTTCAATTTTAATGAATTCGTTCACAATGTGGAATGTTAAGTTGTTGTATTTATGTTACTTTGATTTGATTTTATCTTTTTTACCTATATATAGTATATAAGCTTTGTATACATATTAACATATATATTTGCTCTAAAAATAAATTGAAAGTGGATTACAAAAATCTGAATGCCCTAAACCTAAATAATTTACAGATGAATTAATTTGGATGCTCATAAATTAATTTCTGTGTCTCCAAATGAGTCCCATTGACTGGATGTTGAATATGATGAAATACCTATATTGATTGTAAGACGATTATGTTGATGTTGATGTTAATGTACCTGAATTGATTTGAGTGACAAAAATATGAAATTGGGCAGGAAAATGAGTATCCATGTGTACATGTACAATCCAAAAAGGTGTTTTGTATAATTATATTTTATTTGTATAAGTCATCAAAGTTTTATATTCTATTAATCACTCAAAGTTACATAAGCGTCTGAAAAAAATGTCATAAATGCATTTACTATTCAGGGAAAAATTTTAAGTACTGCACTTTAAAATAGAAGACTGGTACCAACCTTCCCTCCTTAGTTCCTGATACACACACATAGTCAAACATACTGAGATGATGTACCAGCTCACAGAGCAGCACTCCACCTGCATGAGGACAAACAGGTACTGCAAATACAAAAAAAGAATAGAAATATGATGTTAACGTTTGGAAGGTAGATTAAATTTCAACATGCACATGATTATTATTATTAAGTATTTGGCATCACCTGTGCCAGGCAAAGGAAATGAGAACAACTGTAACCCCTGGTAAAATGTCTCCTGGGTCCTGTCGTACAAAGAGTTGATATTAATCGCAACTATGTACATAGATAGGAGAGTGCAAACTTGCGATTGATTAGAGGACTTACAATTGATTTGGATCAATCGCAACTCTTTGTAAGACAGGGCCCTGATATAACTGATTGGGCTGGTGTACCACTGGGATTGTGAAGAGTGCAGTCAGTTCTACACCTGTATGTTACTCTTGTACACACACACACACAGGTTCTACATTTAACATCCTATCTGAGGGGCAAGTATTTTGCACTGAATCCAAGCATGCGTCTATAGAACAGGAAGTAGCCCACACAATGCAGGCTTCATAAGCAATGCTGGCACATACCTGGTTTATCTGTCCATTTTAATTTGTACATTACATTCATATGGTGGCTGATTTCCGCCAATAATTTAAAAATATTTAAAAGGCGTTATTACTATATGTTACAACATAATAATGCCATGAATTAAGGCGTAATTACGCTCTGAATTATTGCAGTATTAGGTCTTAATAAAAGGAAGAAAAAATTGTTGGCGGAAATCAGCCATCCTGCATTTGTGTAGTTACAGTTAAAGGGATTGAGTAACTTTGTCTCAGATTCTGAAACAAAATATATAAACTATAAACCTTTAGGTCAGTCAGGGACCCCTTGGCTTTTACAATTAAGCCGATCGCCTGTCTGATTATCAAGATATTTATGATTGGAAAATCAAAATCAAATTGTGAATTTTTTTAACGCTTTTCATAACACTACAGTCTATTGGGGAAAACGAGTATGGTAAAACCAGTCACTCAAAGATTTTCACTTTTTTGAGGCACTTCTTGATCATTTTGAGGGCCTCAATATTACACATATCACAGACACTGATAACACGTAGGGCCGTGCATCTCAGATTTAACATTGTTAAACGATGCCTTTAATAGTTTGTAACATCATTACAAACCTCCAAATTTTCTTGCCATTTTTAACGCTTTTCATAACACTACAGTCTATTGGGGAAAACGAGTATGGTAAAACCAGTCACTCAAAGATTTTCACTTTTTTGAGGCACTTCTTGATCATTTTGAGGGCCTCAATATTACACATATCACAGACACTGATAACACGTAGGGCCGTGCATCTCAGATTTAACATTGTTAAACGATGCCTTTAATAGTTTGTAACATCATTACAAACCTCCAAATTTTCTTGCCATGAGGATAACAGAGAGGACTTCGTTGATCCCTCCGATTCGGCAGCTATCGATCTGCAGGATCTGTAAGGCTTTGGCTTGGAGAAACTGCTTGAACATAACACGATTCTGGCACTGCTCTCCCGTGGCTACCTTGATGCCCAACGGATTAAGAGCCTGCGACGAAAGAAAGAAAAGAAGTGAGAGAGGCAAGGGGGGAAAGGATACAAAAGCAAAAGCAGATGGAAATGTCTGGAAACCAGTGAAGACATGGTACATATCAGAGACCAGGGGGGTGTATCACAAAGATCCTAAGTTGAACTTTTCTCAAAGTTGGACTTAACAATTATGGAAAGCTGTTAGCATTTTTGAAAATATTTTGTAAAAGTTTTCTTATCAGGCATAAGATGTTGATTCAAATCATTCATATTTTCTATTATCAAGGAGATTTCATGTTCTTGACGTGGAATTTATGAAAAGTCTAAAGTACTTAATTTTTGCTTTGGAGTATATTTTAATTTAAGTCTACAAATGGCTCTCCATAATGTTTAAGTCCAACTTAGAGTTAAGTTCGACTTAGGATCTTTGTGAAACAGCCCCCCTGGGCTCCGTCTTATGAAGAGCTGTTATCAATCGCAAGTTAGTACATAAGAGATTGGGGACTGCAAACTTGAGATTGATTAGAGCAATTGCAATTGATCCAAATCAATCGCAACTCTTTATAAGATGGGGCCCTGACAGCTTCAGTCACAATTCCTCAGGATTTTGGTTACAATTTACCTTAAGGCTAGGTTTAGGGTGAGGATTAGCATAAAGGGTCATGGACAAGTACAGTATTGGGCCCAGGGTTAGAACTTGTTGCCAGTTCATGTGTAGATGTAGTAGAATCATTAGCAGGCCATTTTTCTCCCATCTTTTCTAACACCTTCTCCTGCTCTAACTAGTTGACTTCTGAATTATTTCATTCCACAGCCTTAAAGGGGAAGTCCACCCTGAAATTAAGTTAGTTTTAATAGGAGTAGAAAAATGAGAGAAACAAGTCAGTGAAAGTTTGAGCAAATTCCGATTAAAAATAAGGAAGTTAGGAATTTTGAAGTTGTGATCAATCAAACACAAATTGGCAACTCTATGACGTATCATGCGAGCTCAACTTCCATTTGCTCAGTACTAAAAAAATCTAAAATTTTCATTTTCCCTCAAGAAAAATTTCAACCATACATGCACCCTAAATATAATAATTGCAAATATGTTTCTATACTCCCCCTGCAAGGAACAAATATATATTCTGTCATCAATAACGAAGAAAACATGATTTTATGGAATATTATGCACAAAGCAAATGAAGGAGAGCTCGTATAATAAGTCACAGAGTTGCCAATTTGTATTTGATTGATCACAACTTCAATAATTCATAACTTTCTTATTTTCATTCAGAATTTGCTCAAACTTTCACTCACCTGATTTTCTTATTATTCTGCCTCTATTGAAACAAACTTATTTTGGGGGTGGACTTTCCCTTTAATAATACAGGATCCACTCAGTTCCAGGAGTCAGTGGGTTAAAACAGTTTGAGAAGCACTGGCCTAGAACATCATCACCTGAGATCACCAAGTCCAGTTTACACGATCTGTGATGCAATGTTCATGGATGCGGCTTTACGACTCCATTTACCTTGGAGATAGCAGCATGACCTAGAACATCGTCGGGTGAGATGGGTTCCTCTATCCAGTAAGGCTTGAATTCAGCTAGTCTCTTCATCCAGTCAATAGCTTGGGATACCTCCCATCTCTGATTACAGTCCATCATCTGGAGTTACAAAGCAAAAGGGATAAAGTGACTGGGACATGAGGCTAATAATAGAAGAGCCAATTTAATATCCATGAGGCAAATTTATCTATTAAGTAATATGATTTTCATAAAAATTAATGTACCGTAATTAACGGTGTATTAACCGCACCTTTTTGCCGCCGAAAAACATTTAAAGTCGGGGGTGCGGTTTATACACGGTACACACACACACACACAAAAAAAAAAAAAAAAAAAATTTGATTTATGCCCCTCCACCTGGCGCTATACCTGGCAATGTCTCACAGCTCAGTAATCGGTGTGAACAACACTTAAATTTGTCTGTCATCTTGGTTTGAAAGTAATCTTTCTGATAGATCTCAATATGTAGTTTATAATAATTCCTCCAATTTTTCTTCTATTACACGGCGTACCACAAGGTTCTATCCTAGGTCCTCTACTGTTTTTTAATTTACATTAATGATCTTACACATTCAGCTGCACCTCGCACTTAAATGAAAGGCCTTCCCGCGTGGGTTTTTTAACACAGACCTGGCTTGCTGCCGACAGAGTTGGCAAAAAAAAAAAGGGTGGTTTATACACCGTTAATTACGGTATGTCAACTAACAGGAGAAAGAGATTCTCAATATCAAGACCAAATCATAAACTAATCCTATAAACAACAACAACTAACTCTACATGTAGACCTGTATCTTCTTTGCAAAACAATTTCTGACCCGAACATTCATGTATGTTATGATGACATTTTACTGTGCACTTATTTTGGTCCAAGATATGGGGATAAGGTTTGGGCGACGGTTGCGACTGGGTTTTATAATTAGGATATATGCTGGGTTTGGATGAGGATTAGCATTTGGTACAATATTCGTCCTAGGTTAAACTTATGAATTCAACCAGTGGGAGAAAATGACCATGGAGCATCTATTGCTGTAGCATGTGTCGTACACTTACAGCCTCTCATAAATTTACAAAACATGTAATATAGATTAAGGTCACTGCAAGGAAAACCTTTTTAAATTTTAAAAAAAAAGATAGGACGGAGGAATCCTTACCAATACTTTGTCATCTCCAATCTCTGATCTGATGATCTTAGCTCTTCTGATATCATCCTCCAGATTAGCTCCTATCTTCATCTTAAACCAAGTCCAGCCGTCCTTCAAGGCAGCCTTACACCTCTGAGAATGAACAATGAAAAGAGATGTCAAAAGGAAATACTGCACAAATTAATTTTTTTCAAAACAAATGTGTTTGAAGTTGAATATTGATGAATGAATACAAAATTCAGGTTTTCTGATTGCAACGTTGTTGCCATCTATGGCCCCACAACAATGCAGAAAGATGCCCGCATACCAGTCAATAGTCTTTTAAAAGATGCCGGCATGCCCCGGTTAATGGGCCTCATAAATATATTTTGGTGAGATCCCCATTGGTTTACGTGTAAAATGTGTATTCGTGCCAGCGCGGATACAGAAAACAGTGCAATGTGTGTGCGATTCCCTAATGATTGCAACATTTGGGCAACTTTCCAGCAAAGATGTACAGGCAGTGTCTCAGATTTTCTGAGATGTTTTAACCAGTCTTTACTCAAGAAAAGAATAAGGTAAGAATTCTTTATAGATTGTGTTGTGAATTCGGTATATAAAAGATATACAGACTGCTTTAATATTTGAGGCATACAGTATTTGTTTGTATAGGCTCTTAGGGACGTTACATCCTGCTACCACCCCTCGGCAGGCCTTGGGATGATAGCAGGATGTAACGTCCCCTTGAGCCTATAAAAACAACCATCCGTCTCACAGCAGTCATTGTATCTATACTATTACCTCTCTAAGTGTTTCGTCAGAGTATCCTAACCAAGCAGTCGAGGTGGTGTACGCTGGAAAGCCATTCTTCATCAACTCAGCTTCTGTTGTAGAAAAACAGGGAGGTAGGGGTTTGAAACAGAACAGTATCAAAAGTGCTGCATTTATATTGTTAAAATGACATAACTGAAGTATAATGTGCAAATACTTATTTTCTCACTTCCACTTGCTATTCATTTACATGACAAAATACATGCACTTAAAATATTATAAGGAGACCATTTTTATGGTGCAAATACACTCTACTGAGCTTAATGCAAGCTATCACATTATTAGCCCACTTGTAGCTCAGCCGCCATGTTAAGGCACTAAAGCATTAAAAGGGATTGGGTATCTTCGTCTCAGATTCTAAACAAAATCGTTGGATTTAGCTCATGCTGCAATCATCATTATGAACCGGTAACATTGCCTTAGATTCTGAAACAAAGTCCTGGATTTAGCTCATGTTGCAACCATAATTACAAACATTTAGGTCAGTCAGGAATCCCATGACGTTTACAAGCCGATCGCTCGTCAGATTATCAAGATATTTATGATTGGAATTTGAAATCTCATAAACCGTTTTCCCTACAGTTTTTATAACACTACAGTCTATTGGGAAAAATGAGTATGGTAAAACCGGTCACTCAAAGATTTTTACTTTTTTGAGGCACTTCATGATCATTTTGAAGCGCAATTTTTTTAGGGCTTCAATATTAAACCATCTCACAGACGCTGAGCTGATAACACGTAGGGCCATGCATCTCAGGTTTGGCATTGTTAAACAATGCCTTTAAACAAATTTCTTCATATCGGGTGCCTATTTACTTCACCTGGGTAGAGAGTAGCAAATGTGAATCAATGTCTTTTAGACTAGAATTCTGCAATGACTGTTTACCAGATCATGTGTAGTCAAGCCTTTACTGTACCTCTTTCAGCTTTCGTTGATTCGTTAGCTTTTAGAATCTGCAAAGCCTCTTCTTTTGTCAGTGCATCAGTTCTGTAAATTCACAATTCATAGAAAGTACACCATTTTGAAAGTTATTAGAGGTAAAGATTATAATGTATGTTGATAGAGATAATGGTTGAGAGCAATTTAATCAAAATTTATCATTGCAGTCTCTAAATTGTCAACACAAAGTGAAATCTTAAATCACTATTTTTCTTGTACATATTTGCAATTTCTCATTGATTTCTCATAATATTCATTCACACTGTTATTTTGTAATATACATGGACATTTTTTTTGTTGAAACAGTGGAAAACACAAATAAATGTTGCAAATATGAGGAGGAAAACCTGGTTTAGCTATACATTTTGATAACTCTGACCTGCTATGGATTGAGTGAATTTCTTTCAAAGGATAAAAGAGAATTGAGCCAGACATAAATATGGTCCATTACAATCTGGGGTTAACTGTGTTGCATCCAAAATGTTACAGATATCCATTGATTAGTCTACTACATTTGTACCTGTTAATAACTTGTTTCTGATTTTACTTAGGGTGTAATTTTCATACTTAAACTTGTCAAATATATTTTACAGAATTGATATTTGAAGCTGATACTTCAAATATAGGGGATCAGAATGTACCTGTCATAAAAACAAAAGCTAGCAAGGGAATTCCTATTCATATAGTACAGGGTTATCTCTCATAAACCCTTCTGCTTGGCACACAATGGTATATTTGAAACGGTGCCTACACGTAATAACGTATCCGGCTGTGTGCATGGCAAAAGGGCGTTTGCATGTGAGGTTCTTCCACAGTGTCAAATTTTCCTTGTAAATTTTGAAAACAATCAGTGAACTTACATGTATCTGAAGTCTATAACACTTAACAGTTGCTCTGGGGTCTATAAAATAAAAAAATAAAACAAAATAAAATAAAATAGAATAAAATAAAATAAAATTAAATTAAATTAAACAAAATAAATCATAGAAATTTAAAATGAAAAACAAATCATCTCTCTCAATATGTAATGTTTGATTTTATATGTTGCCCCCTTAATCTTCTTTCTTTATATTAAACCATGACCTTACATATTTTATATGTCTTGCACTCTGGCATTTCTATTTCTTTTGCTATTTTTTTCATTCTCTAAACATTCTCAATCAATTAATTCAGTTTAATGCAATAAAACAGTCCAAACTCCACAGTGCAATCATTATTGTGCCTATAAAGAAACCTTACAAATATATAACAGAATATATGGCTTTTTCAATTTGAGAAGGGTGCATTTCTGATTCCTAAGTACGTTTATCTTTTTCATTGTCTACACACAAGCAAAACTCACCATATCTACAAGCAACTTCCAAAGAGGCTGTCAAATAAATCATAAAACAAATTACAATATAAACATAATCATTTAATTAAACAGTGTAATTTATGGCATTTTACAGGTACTGTAGCTGTGACATTTTGTCATGACATGCTATAAACCTTGATATATTAACTGTTTTGCGATGTCAACCAATATAACATTTAATAACATTTAATTATTGATGCATTTATTGTAGATACATGTACAATATTGTAGCATATCGTACGATTGTAAAATAGTTTTAATGTACATATTTTTGAGTCAAAACTTTATTCATTTTGTGTACCGGTATATATTTGATTACAGCGGAAATGTTACAAGATTTATGCAAACCAAAAATATTTCTTTATGATGCAGTGATCGTTATCTAATAATTGTTTTTATTGTCATGAATTAAAATGCATCGAACAGGGCCAAACTTGACTAGCTTTTGCCTGTTGTTGGCTCCATTTGCTGGCAAATGTGTACCGGTAGTTATTGTTATGCTGAAATTCAATGATACTTCATGAACGTTTTGGTAAACCATTTTGCTTGTCCATACGAACAACAGCTGATGTATGCAATATGCATTCTGACTGTTGAGATACAAGAATATACAGGCGAATGTGATAGCTTATTGCTAGGAAAATATTTAACCTTTCCAGCCATCTTGGCCCATAGGTCCCAGAGAGCATTCAGAACAGCACATGTCGCTAGAGAGATGACTCCTTTCTCAGGTCCAATCTGAAAGAGAAAAATTTGGAGTCCGTGATAAGGAGAACCATTTCATAGTCCAGGGGGGTGTTTCACAAAGATCCTAAGTAGAACTTAACTCTAAGTTGGACTTAAAAATATGGACAGCCATTGGAGTCTTAAAATGAAATATATTCAAAAGCAGAAATTTAAGTATTTTAGACTTTTTATAAATTCCACATCCAGAACATGAAATCTCCTTGATGATAGAAAATATGAATGATTTGAATAAACAATTAATGCCTTTCAAAATAACTTTTACAAAATATTTTCAAAGATGCTATTGGCTTTCCATAATTTGTAAGTCCAACTTAGAGATAAGTTCAACTTAGGATCTTTGTGAAACACCCCCCTGGTCTCGTTTCACCGAACCATCATAGGTTCATGTTCAACAACATTCCATTGAAACACATGCTATTGCATTCTTTTTATGAAATCCAACTCATGGTTGCAATAAATGAATGATTTAATATTTAATTCCAGTGGGTTGTAGGCAGGCTTTCACTTATTTATGACTGTCCCATGGAATAGTAGGGGTTCAATGAGATAATACTAACAATAGTCACATTTGTATAGCACTTAATACTACATTTCTAAGCACTTAAAACTGTAATAATTATTACCCTGGTCATTGGATTCAATTGCTAATCTGTACATGATAGTGCACATGCTCCACTCTCTGAGGAGTACATGTATTATAGCCAGGTGTAATTTTACAAGCACACACATGCCAATACAACAACATTCACATTCGCATCATACCAGGTACCATATTAACACCTGGGTGTAGAGTGGCAAATGTAGATTGGTGTCTAGCCAAAAGACATCAGTGCCGTGGTGGGACTTGAACCGCAAACCATGTGGACCAAAGTCTGATATCATATCTGCTAGACCACAACACCTCCACACTAATAATTACAGATGTCATAATTACCCATCTAAGCTGTGATTCGCTCGTCAGTTTCCGCCAGAACGTCGCAAAATCGCCAAAGATGTCCGCCACCTTGAGACCGACCACAAAGGGAATGAGAGCCTTTACTCCTGCCACAACTGTGCCACAAATAAAGACAGAAAATATACAAACAAATGGATCAGTTTTACTCTCTTAGTGACATAAAAGACACATAATCTCAAGAGGAAATGTTACGCACTGTTAAAGCTAACATATACTAAAAAAGAACTCTTTGTTCATATAAAAATTAATAACACTTTAGTACATGTACGATGAATCTGATAATAACATGTTCAAACCACCTGTTGCAATTAGATATTTGTCAAACACAGTAGAAATGTGATACAGCATATACATGTATAGAGATCTATTTTAAAGAATGCCATGACAGTATTTATTTATTTATCTATTTTATTTTTGTTGACAAGTGGAAACAAGTGAAATGCAGTTGTTACATTCTAAATAAGTTGTACTTTGTCCAATGTCCATAATATAGCGGCATAATAAGCAGTAACAGTTGACAAACAGGGTTTGCTTACACATTAGGTGGATTAAAGTTAGGGTATTCTACCGACACTACTTCAAATTTACACAGTGACATCTGCTGCTCACAATGTCCCAATTATGTCAACAGCAATGTCCCACAATGCATCATCAACTAATGACGGGTGCGTGACGATGCTTGGCTACACGAACCAGAAATTGCTCAATGTATGCCTTCCCAGAAAGATGGTGCAATTGAAAATACATTACAGCAGTGGTAGCAATGTTGATAAAATACCCTGCTTTTAAGATCACATTCATGTACCTTTTCCTTTGTGCCCAAATTAATAGGTCATTATATCCTGCATAAAAATGTATTGGTTTTTTGATTGGTTGAGAGCTCTTCACGTGACCACAAATATTTCAACCATTTTAAGATTGCTCTGAAAAAGTACTATTTGGGAGCATAATTTGGGAGACGAAAACAAAAATTGAGGACTTTTTTTTTTTTGTATTTTTTTTTTTTTTTTTACAATATAATATATTATAAAATTTTTAGAATGTTTAATTTTTTTAATTTTAATGCATTTTTTTTTTTTTTTTTTTTTTTTTGGGGGGGGGGGGGGGTATGCAGAATATAAAAAAATTTACCCTGCCTTTGTTTCGAGGTACAAATTATAACAATGGGCCTCGGTGACTCCAATAGCACAATAGCATTTGTATATTATAGGTTGTATTGCCTATTAAAGAGATTGTAATAATATACCGGTATATCTAAAAAGTGCATTGAGAGGGCCTGCGGTCCTGAAATGCACTATATAAGGATGAAATATTATTATTATTATTATTTGTAAGTCATCCTTTAAGCTACTAACCAACTTCCGTTCCCCTGCCGATGGTAAACGTTGGTCCATGACCTTCCAATCCATCTCCAGCATCAGTTCTGATGATGACATACGCACAGGAATAGTCGGGATCAGTATGCTATTGACAAATAAGAAATATAAAAGAATCAAATCAATTTGTACCCAAAAGCGCCATTTGAATTAATGACAATATTAAAATGATATACTGGAACTGGAAGGTACAACAAACTGTGATGCTCAGCTATAAACTAGAGTATTAATTACGGTTGATTAATTAGCACTGTAATTATTATTATTTTATATTTTAAGATAGATCACTTTTTGTTTTAGGATACGAAGAGAGGCTCCAAACCAACGTCTTAACATAATGAACTGAACGCAACTAATATTGAACCACTTCATCCTTTCCTTCCTAATTTATTCTTTAAAATAACAAGCTACATGTACACATAACAATAGAGATATTAACTAGGCCTACTAAAATTTAGTTGACATTATTAATTTCATAAACACAACACCACAGGCTATCGTTGATACAACAGAGCAAAAATCAAAGAGAGAACCAGAAACTACACCCTCTCACGTCACATTGCCTGGCGAAAATCATCAAACGATGATGGAAACCACCATAAAAACCAACAATAACAACAACAACAAGCTGTCTGCTATTGACTGCACGTACATACACCCAAGTATAGCTTCCAGAGAGTGAGCTGCAAAGGGATTAATGCTTCAACTTCAATTTTAAGGTTCAAGATTCTCCCATACCCAGGCCCAGGTCAGCGCCAGTACCCACGGTAACGCCCCCAATTACATGTCGAGTGTAACCTTGGACTCGAGGCAAGCTTGCGTTGTCGATCAGCCCGAAACTCCAGGCGCACCAACAAAGACCTGTCCGCTCGCTCCTCCAGCTGCAAACTGTCCGAATCGAGAGCTCCATTTGAGTTTGAATTCCGTCAGAAATCTACGTACCCAGAGTAAATCACCTATTCAGAAAAACAAAGCAAATTGTTAGCTTACCATAGCATCCGATCCATGGCCCTCGAGTGAGGTTGGAAAACGAATATCTTTCACTTCAATGTTGACAATTTTAGTGTTTACAGCCATTTTGTCCAGTGTTTCATGCTTCGCAAAAATATCGTCAGCTGATATTTCATCGTAGTCTTTGATCAAGATACTCGGTCTTATCGTACAGTGGGCGTATCACCTTGGAACGAGACCGATGTTCATAGCCTCCACTCATTCACCATATTTTAATTATGGTGATCGTGAATGAGTGAAGGCTATGCTGGATGTTTACACAGCAGAAAACTATTTATTTTAATAACTATAGCACATAAAATAATCAGGCCTAAACACTTGAATGTAGACTACAATAGAACTCACGTTTAGTCCGAGCGGACGAGCGGACGTGCTTTTCAGAAGCTCTCTAGGAGCTTGTAGATTTCTTGTAGATTTCTTGTAGAATTTTGCCAATATTGTTAAAAATTGCCTCAATACCGGATATAGTTGGGACTGTTTTGCTTCTTTATACTGTTGAACCTTGGATTGAAACTATAGTGGATTCATACAAGCCTATACTTAGGATCAGAGTCAAAAGGTAAGCAAGTCTTGTGGGCTACTAACACATACCGCACCCTTAATTACACGGTAGACTGCACACAATTGAATTTCCCGCCCTTTTCAGGCAACCAACCAGGTCATGGCCGGAGTGACAAACACCGGCCAGGGCGAAGAGCCACCTCTTTTACAACCCAATGAAGAAGATGAATTTCGAACTGTAAATTACTCTCGTAGGGAGCAAAAACCGAGAAATAAACGCAGGCGCGAAGGAAGCATTGCAATTGAAAATCTTTCAATGAGAACAGAATCCTCTTCCTCAGAAGACCAAAATACAACCCAGAACCGCCAATCGGAACTCAAAGTCTTAATTACCCCCATAGATAAATCAAAATCGCTAAAGAATGTGAATCCCATTACTATAGCTAGAAATATCCGTGAAGCTTGTCCAAACCCTGTGGAATTTATCAAACCCACAGCCCAAGGTCTCCTTATCAAATGCAAAAACCAGAAACAAGTAAAAGCACTATCTCAAATTAGTAACATAGGAACCACCCCAGTAAAAGTTGCAGAAAAGCAGCAAGTTGTGAGAGGGGTCATATATGGAGTACCTACAGAAATGACTGATGACGAAATTCTCAATGAATTGAAACACCAAGGAGTAATTGATGTAAAAAGAATCATGAAAAGGTCCAAATCAAATGTAAAATCAATTGAAATTGAAGAGAGCAGACCCAATTTTATCCCAATGAGGAGTGTTATTATAGCATTCAACCGTACAAACCTCCCCAGCAACATAACAATGTGCTATCAACATTTTGAGGTTAAACTATACATTCCCCCCGTTTTGAGGTGCTTTCAATGCCAACGCTACGGCCACGGCATAGCTCAATGCAAAGCAAAGATGAGATGCGTCAGATGCGGGGAAGACCACAAATTTGAGGAATGTAACCGAAAAGAAAGACCGATATGTATAAATTGTGGTGGGAACCATTCAGCAGCCTTTGACGGCTGTCTTGAAGCTAAGAAAGCCAAAAAGATACAAATAGTAAAAGTCAAAAACAATCTTTCATACGCACAAGCTGCAAAAATACAGTCGGAGCAAGAAAAAGCACAGCAGAAACCACAAGCTAACCTCCCTGAATCACATCCCTCCCTCGATGTCAACTCAGATAACCTCCCTCTTCCTCCCCGACCAGTGAGGTCATCCACAGCAATCCGCCCTGAAAACGCCACCCCGCAACTTGATCCCCAGCCCTGGAACACCCCGCTGCAAAAAAACGCACAGAGCAGTAAATTAATAGATAAGGATGGAAAAACTGAAGTAAAACTAGAAGCCCTCCCTCGAGGTAACCTAGTAACATTAATGAGTGATGAGCAAATAATCTCTTTCATTACGCAACTTGTTCTCACTTTTACGGATGGAAAATCCGAGAAGGAGATTTCATCCTTAGTGAAAGTGGCAGCTGAGAGACTGCTCAAACAAAGAGTAAAACATGACGCTAAAGATGTACTGGTATAGCATAGTAATGATGATGACAGCGCTAACCATATTACAATGGAACGCGCAGGGACTTCTTAATCACGGTCCTGAACTTATAAAATACTTAGATTCATATAAAGATGTAAAGTACCATTTAATTTGTGTTCAGGAAACATGGTTCAATGATGATAGAATATTGCAAATCCCTGAATATACATGTTTTATTAGAAACAGGGAAAATCAATCTAAAGGAGGGTGTGCCATTTATGTACATGATTCCATCAACTATGAATATCCTGTCAATGACGAAGAATTCGAAATACAACATATTAAAGTTCATGTTGCTGGATCAAAAATCTCCATAATCAATTTCTATAACCCTTGCAAAAAATTAAACGAGATTGTTTTGAACAGGATGATTAACAAACTAGAATACAATCTATTCCTTATAGTTGGGGATTTCAACTCACATAATCCTGTGTGGGGTAGTGCAAAGATAGACCAAAATGGGCACACAATTGAAAATTTCACACATGACAATAACTTTATAATTTTAAACGACGGAAGAGGAACCAGAATAGATCCACACACTGGGAAAATGTCATGTTTGGATCTTAGCATCACCTCCCCCAAACTATCTTGCCTATGCTCGTGGGAAGTTTTGCGGCACACCCTTGGTAGTGACCATTTTCCCATCTCCACCCAGATATTATTGGACCGAGCAGGGAAAGTAAACAGCAACAGCGAGAAGATAAATGAGGAAACAACTTGGTCTTTTAAAAATTTTGATTGGAACACTTTTGCCGAAAAATGTGAACATAAAATTGAACATAGTGGCAACTATTCCGACCCTACGAAAATGTATAAATGTTTTATGAAAAGTTTGTCAGAGACTATTAAAGAAATAATGCCCCAGAGGGGAAAGAAAAAACATGACCCTGTACCTTGGTGGACAAAAGACTGTACACAAAGTATCAAAGAAAGAAACAGGGCTAATAATAGATTAAAAAGACACATTTCAATAGAAAATCTAAATACATATTTGAAGAAAAAATCAGAGGTACAAAAAACTCTACGCCAAGCAGAACGAAATTACTGGCAAGAATTTTGCTCAAGACTCAACCGCTTTGTACCAGAATCAGCGGTATGGTCTACCATTAAACGGTTAAAGGGGGTATCTGTCAAAAAAACAAAAAACATGTCAGTCCTGATAGAAAATGAAAAAGAAATCACATGTAACAGTGAAAAGACTGAGGCTTTCTCTAAGTTCTTCCAATCAATTAGTAATGTTAAAGAATGTCCAGAAATAAAAGAAAACAAAAATGTTGAGCAACAAGTCACGAAATCACTGAAGCGGGGAATGGAGCATATCTTGAATGAACCATTCACTCTTTTTGAATTGCAAAAAACTCTAAACACATGTAAACAATCAGCTCCTGGAAAAGACAAGATCCCTTATCAGGTTTACCAAAAACTTCCTCAGAAAGCAAAACAATATATGCTAAAGGTCATGAACTTGATATGGGATACGGGTAGCATACCTCCCAGTCTGAAACACTCTATCCTAATACCTGTGTTAAAACAGAATAAAGACCCCCGAAAGGTATCGTCGTACCGACCCATAGCACTTTCCTCATGTTTTGCCAAGATACTAGAACGGATTGTGAAGAATAGACTCCAATGGTATGTAGAAAAGAACAATATACTTCCTCCCCTCATGACTGGCTTTCGTAGTAAACGTGGGGTCACGGATAACATTGTACTTTTAGAGAATGCCATCCAAAGAAGCATTAATGTTGGTGAATATACTTTAGCAATCTTTCTCGATATTGAAAAGGCATATGACAGACTTTGTATCAAAGGCCTTATTTACAAACTATCAGTACATGGTATTACAGGTAATATGCTCGAGTTTCTCTATAACTATCTGAAAGAGCGGACTTTCCAAGTAAAGATTGGTAAAGAAGAATCAAAATTATATGAAATGTACAACAGCCTCCCCCAGGGGAGTGTCTTAAGTCCTATATTGTATAATATCATGATGAGTGATATTCCAACAGATGAATTAATCACCACATCTATTTATGCTGATGACTGTGTCATCTGGATGTCAGGTAATAACATAGAAATTATTTCAAACAGAATACAGTGCTATCTGAACACATTGAGTGAATGGTTTACTAAATGGGGCTTTTGCCTTTCACAGAGTAAATCCTTTCCAGTGTTATTTACTAAAAACAATAAAGCAAAATACCCAGAACTGAAATTAAACAACGACGCACTTTTATTCCAATCAAAGAAGCATTTCCTAGGACTTATATTTGACAAAAGACTTTCATGGAAGACGCACATAGATGCCGTAGTCCTTAGATGTAAAAAGAAACTGAACATTCTTAGGTGCCTTACTGGGACTACATGGGGAAGCTCCTCGAAATCCCTGCTAATGGTATATAGAGCATTGATAAGATCGTTATTAGATTTTGGTTGTGAAGCCTATGACAGTGCGGCTCAAAGTATAAAGAAATCACTTGACTCCATTCAATATCAAGCCTTGAGAATTTGTGCGGGAGCTCTTCCTCTTACATCATTAGATTCACTACAAGTTGAACTAGGTGAAATGCCCTTAGACTTAAGAAGACAGATGCTGGCGGACAGATTCAGACAAAAGATTGAAATGCATCGAGATCACCCTGTCATATTAAACGTTAAGCCCAGCTGGCAAATGGAACTTTTGAAGCTCCAAAAGAATAACAAGCCATTTGGATGCAGAACAGAACTAATGAAACATTGTACTATCGAACCTTACACTATACCTAGTTTCCCCCCTTGGAAAATTAATGCTCCAAAAGTGTCGATAGAATTAAGCGAAATAGTGAACAAACATGAAAACCCATCTTATTTACGTCAACGCAGTTTAGAATTGATCAGTACCAAATGGCCAATACAACTACACATCTATACAGATGGGTCAAAGGTTCCAAGTTTTGGAATAAGTTCTGCTTCTTTTTATGTACCAGCATTCTCCTTTCAACAAGCCAAACGATTGGCGGATCACACCTCATCTTTCAGAGCCGAATTGGCTGCAATTGTCCTTGCGCTTAATTGGCTAGAG